ATGTGGGAATGTTTCAAGCACAATATTGAAAATTCTTGCTTGATTCATTTATCATTATACAGGTATAACTCCTAGTTTTGTATTTTGGAAAAGGATATGATAAACCATGTTGCACAGAAGGGAGAAATCAGATAGGGAATATAGGTAGCTGATAACTTGACCAAGGGAACAAAATGCCAAAGACCGTTTTGGGAGGAGGGGGCAAGTCAGGAAGGGAATATAGGTAGCTGATAACTTGACCAAGGGAACAAAATGCCAAAGACCGTTTTGGGAGGAGGGGGCAAGTCAGGAAGGGAATATAGGTAGCTGATAACTTGACCAAGGGAACAAAATGCCAAAGACCGTTTTGGGAGGAAGGGGCAAGTCAGGAAGGGAATGAGAATGAAGAAATTAATGATTGCAGAAAGGAAGAGAGCTGAGAAAATGAACACTAAATACATGTGATGGTCATGAAATCCCCTGCTCTCATTGTGGAAGAATTATCTTAATGCGGGCGGGTCTTGCTAGTCACCCTCGCTATTACTATGGGTTGTGAGTCCCATGCCTCCACATAGCATCATTTACCACTATCGCCTGCAAATATGAACAGGTGCCAATATATCAGAAATGCTGGCATAGCATTTAATGCAATTACCAAAATGAATGTCTTTAATTCACTCTAGTAGAATTCTAGAGTCTGCTTCTCTCTGTAAATACCAAAGCAGGCTGCAAAAAGAATCATGCTGTATGGGCAACAGTCACAGCTTGTGTCATATTTAGTACTCCGTTGATAGACCTAGGTCGAAACATTTGGCTGTATTTGTGCACCTAGAAAATCATTCATTTATAGTTTTGGTGTTTTCAGTCCTGAAGGGATACATATTCAACAAAGCTTTATTTAATTCACTTTTTTCATATTTCTCCCCCTCTTTTTTCATGTGCTTCTTACTTATTTCCCTTTCATAATATAACATTTCATATCCATTTACCTCCTATTACACATTTTTTCGGTTTTATGCTGACTTTTTAAAAAAATGTTTTTTAGAAGCTTTGCTGCCTTGTCTGTTGAGTTTCCCAGTCCAAGTCTGTGTTGTATTAAGTATTCCGTTGATGAAGACTTTGGCTGAAGCCTTCAGTTGTATTTGTGCGTGTCTTTTTCATTCCCTCCATTGAGCTTTCTAGTCACATTTTATGTTGTATTCAGCACTTCATGGGCAACACATGGTTTCTATAACACTACCCGGGCTTTGTGCAATGGATAGGAGGAACCTCATCTTTGGCATTCATTGGTCTTGGACACCCGAGCCTCCCTACAGAATAGTCTAGAAAGATGGAGAGGTGCCAACAACTCAGAAGGCTTATAATTGTTACAACCATTCGATAAATTATCTTCAAAATTACTCATTTTACCAACTGTCTTTGCCTGGCTCTCTAGCGTAGTTGGCTAAACCGGATTGCGCGGTGACGAACTCCTTGTGGTCCGGGTTCACTCCTGGGGGTAGGCAGAAAAGCCACATTTCTCCCAGATTTACGGTATTTACAATGGAATCAAGGCCGAAAGGTTGCAATATCCATAATACCGAGCCTAAGGGTTAACAACTCATGGCTTCTGGATACTAAAACAAACAAACAACCAACTGTCTTTAAAATTACTCATTTTATCAACTGTCTTTAAAATTACACATTTTACCAACTGTCTATGAAATTACTCATTTACAAACCGTTCACATTTCTGCCAAGACAATGGTCTTACAAACTAGGCTCTATATACTTACTTTATTTTACAAATTTGCTTTTCCTCTGCTTCTCTGTCCTTTCTAAGTTTTTATGTTTTTTTGTTTCCAGTCAGGCCACGACAGTAATTGTTGCATTTTCCTCTTCAGAGACAACATTTTCACTGCCATTAGATGTTTCCTAGCTCAGCGTAGACATATTAAGAGATTTAAAAAAAAAAAAAAAGAAATACTGCACAGTTGAGGGGCTAGAAGACGTTACAAAACATAGAAATGATAAAGATAATATAAAAACAGATGACTAGCAACCTTAATTTAAGTGGCATACAAAGATGATAAAGAAATCAATTACTGATATAAATTATATCATATATTATCTGACCACATGTCTAAAAACGAACTACATTTTGAATTCACTATTCAACATTTCCCACTTACACACTAGACACTGCATACTCAAAAAACACTCATATAAATTAGATATGAGCTGAACAGCTCTCTATCAGTGTCTTCATGTTAAACAGACCCAGAACATGTCTTGCAAAGACTGTCCTCTTCTGGAAGAGCTATGAAGCAACATGTGGCCACACCCAGTAGACCTGACAACTAAATTTTGGGGAAACCTTAAAGACCCCAAGCAGACATCCCAGTTTATGGTCTATAGTGGATGAGAGGCATGGCCAGAGACTGCTGAAGAAGGAAAATGCAGCATGTCACAGTGTGACAAAATGAATGACAGCCAAGTTCTATTGTATTCTTTGCGCATAAATGAATTCCCTTATCAATCTTTTAAATCCATAAAATACAGTTCCTTTACCCCTTCCTCTTCTCATTCTCCTCATTTTACCTGTTATCTCTCAGTGGAGCACAGGCCCTCAATTATCTCACATACATACATCTTATGATAATATAAAATATCCTTTTCAAAACTAATCCTCGCAACATTAATAAATATATGCTATAGAAACCCATAAAACATGTTAATAATAAATATTAAATATTTTTTTTTTAAAAGGGAAACAAATTTTAAAAGCCACAATAATTTAAAAATGAGTACATCATCAGCTACGGCAAAAATACCATGTCAGAATCGGTACTGGAAGTGACAGCACTCTTCTTTTTGAAAAATAAAAAAAAAAACAGTATGATGGCAGGCCAACAGTCTAAGTATTGTACAAACAGTGAAAACAATATAACAGTATGCAATGTAAGTAATATAGACAGACATATTTTTAATCATCATTGTCATCTTGGTGTGCTGTTTATACACCAGCCAAGGCTTACAGTTGTTTCCTCCATTTTGTTTTATCCTATGGAATTATTTCTATATCTAGTAAAGAATCCATTCTGGCAACTTTCATCAAGATTTGTTGCAGCATTCGTCTTAGACATCCTTGTTTTCTTAATCCATTTGTTTCACTGCCTTTTTGTGATTATTTGTCCACTTTCTCCCAGAATGTCACCATCTCTTGTAGCCATTAATATTGTAATGACATACGCATTATGGAAGAGCAGAGAAATAGATGTTGAACAAACAAAAAACTGTAACAAACAGAATCACTGACATTTATACAAAGAGAGCCAACAAAAATATAGCAATGTTAACAGCATATCAGTATGGAGGAAATAATAATGTGTACAAAGAGGGATAGCTATTGGGGGGGGGGGGGGGGGGGGGGGGGTGGGGGACGTTGTGCCACCCCAACAAAAGAGGTTGGTTGCAATGTATTCATTGCTAAACTTTGGGAATATTATATGCTGAGGCTCAAATGGCTTCCACAGTGTAACTCAAAGGGCAGATACACTTTTTTTCTTCAGGTTCACGAGCTGTAAAATCCAGAGTAAAGTTCTGGTTTGTTCATTCATCCTGAGCTTTAGTCTCGTTCCAGAACTTGAGTTTTGTGTGCACATCACTTTTACAGATCCGGCTTATTTGTATGCAGATTGTTGGTTCCTTGACCCTCAAGCAGAAGCATTCCCACTTTGAAGGAAACACCCCTAATTTGTTGACCTTTATGACGTTTTGGTTAGAGGGAATTAGGTCTATTCTTTCTGTTCCTCAACAGGAAGGAGAGCTATACAAACCGGAGAAATGTTACAGATTTAAATTTTACAGAAAGGAAAACTCCTTATTAATTAAAGGAACTTTTTCATATCATTGGGCATATGATGCTACATCCACATTTTTTTTATATATATATATATTTTTAGACCAGCCAGGTACTAACTGGATGATGTGGTCAACATCTTTACAGCCAACTGGATTTCCTTGCTACGCTCTGCAAGGCTGGATTGACCTAGGAACCCTTGACCAATTAATTAAAAAAAATTTTAAAAATAAAAAGATTTTTCAAGTCACCCTCCTGTGGATTCAAACTTCAGACCTTCAGTCCTATATTAGCTTGCAACATGTGTACATCGATGCATGAGAGATTACATTGTGTTCACGGATTTCAGGAATGCAGTACAACTTCTGCTGTAAACAAACTAGATAGTGGGATGCTGTTTCCTCTTTCAGGATTAAGGGTCCCCCCCCCACTCCCAAAACCAGGGTTTGGACCATGCTATGAAGTAGCTGCTAAGTATCTGGTCCCCCTGTTTTTCATTCCAAGGTCATAATCCATCAGTTTTTTTTAATGTTCCAGGGGTGAGAGGGTTAAGAAGCGTTTGCTGAAATCTTGACGTTTTGGGCTGAATGACCAAGCTTAAACTACAACACAATGTGTCAATCTCCTTGCTAACAGCAAGCCCCATGCTTATCATCATAATCCCCTACTACGTCAATTAGCATAAGTGGTCAGAGTCTGCTGTCCTAACTGATCACCAGAAGCAAAGATCAGGTCAGTGTTTTGTCCCACCCTCGTCTATGTGCCTGGTCAAGCCTTCAAAGATATTTTGTCTTCCCCTTGCTCTCCTTCTATCAATCTTGCAGGTTGTGATCATTTTCTAGTTTATTCCTTCTTTCCACAAACTTTTTACTATTCTATGTAAACAAGATTAATAAAAGACAGTAGAAGAGGAAAAGTTCATTTCCTCTAAATTAAAATGAAAAGAAAAGTTTCGAGCGGAAGAAATGCAGGACTGACAATTATGGATGACTATGTGGTCATGACAACAACAACAACAACAACAACAAATTCAACCTGCAATGAGAAACAAAATTCAATCTGGCAATGCATAACCAAGTTCAGTCTGGCAATGAAATTTAAAATTAAAATGCAATGAGAAACAAAATATCTGTGAAAGTTACTGATGTAAATAATATTAATTCCTGCTGTTTAATATCCATTATTTGCCATTGAGAAAGTCTTCAAACATGCTGAAGTCATCAGCTGTGCTCTGAATGGAGTCAAACATTGGTTCATTTGTCAAGGGATTATCAAGAAAATGAAATAATTCATCTTGGCTGGAAGGTGTTGCTTGCTGGCTGGGGAAATTGGATGTCTGAACCCCATTAGTCTGTGAGTTTGACACACCACCATGTAATGTAGCTCCGGGTGAGGGACCTCCCATGGTATATCCTGATGTGGGCAAGGAAGGGGTTCCTGGTGCAGGGCCTCCCATGTTGTAAGCAGGGTTGGAAGTGTGCATGCTCATCTGCTGGGAAATCTGCAAGCTCTGGTGCTGCACCATTATTTGTGACCCATTTGGCACCATGCCAGAACTAGAACCTGCCCTCGCCTGTCCAGGTAGTGCCTGTCTCTGCTGCTGCTGCTGATGCTGCATCTGAGCTATATTAGTTGCTGCTGCTGGCATACATCCTACATTAGAACTTGCTCCATAGTGGGGAGGTCTGTGCTGCTGGTACTGCATCATGTGTGCAGACATGGCAGCTGACTGTGTCATACCATGAAGATTTTGTCCATTGTTAGGCAAGCCTGCTCTCATGTTCATTTGGCCAGGTTGCATCAAGTTACCACGAGACCACTCTGAATTTGAACGTGGCTGGGAAATGTTTAGTCCTTCGGGGCCCACATTGACGTTGGGAGGCCTCTGGTTTCGCATGATGGCACTAGTGTACGTTGATGATGGTGCCCGGGCAGAGGACTCGACAGCCGAGTAGGCTGGTGGCTGCTGCATGTGCTGCTGCTGCTGGGAGTGGAAGGTTGGCTTCACACCCTGGCTGGCCTGAGGTAAGTTTGCCATATGAGGCCCACCGGATGCCATGGTGACTGACATTGTCTGCTGTTGCATCGCTGAAATCTGGGATGACATCATGCCTCCATTTGTCTGAACTGGCGGGGAAGCACCAGCCACTTCACTTTTGACAGTCCCATAAGATGATGTCTTGTTGACCATGTTCTGCATCGTCTGCAGTGGGTTCTGATTGCCACTGGTGTTCATGGTATTTGGGTATGGTCCTTGAGGTCTGGCATTGTGATGCATTTTATAATCAGGTGGGGGTCGTCCCATATACTGAGTAGGCATGCAGCCATGCTGTGCCTGTTGTTGTTGTTGCTGCTGCTGCTCCATCCTCAACTTCTCCATCATTTGCATCTTCATCTGCTCACTGACCATCTGCTGCTGGCCCATGCTGAAGTTCTGCTGCTGTGTCATCGATATTTGTTGTGGTGATGGCTGCATCTGCACCTGCTGGGTCTGAGACATCTGCATGCTGTGGGATCCATGAGAAAGCTGCATATGTTGTGTTTGACTAATCTGCATTTGATGAGGTGCCGCCAAGGATGGCTTAAAGTGACTCTGAACTTGGTTCTGCAACTGCTGCAATGAGGAAGGTGAACTGTGCTGTTGCCGCTGTTCATTTGGAAAATGAGTCAACGGTTTTGTACCACCAAAAGTCATTGCAGCGGCCATTTCTGGTGTTATCTGTGATGAATCATTCATATGATGACCAGCTGAATGGTTGAAGGGAAAAGAGGATGTCATGTTGGGGACAGAATGATACAACTGAGGATAGTTGGAAGAGAAACCCCCATTGTGAAGCCCTTCTGTGAAATGATCCATGCTCTTCATGGGGTACCCTGGGCTGTTTTGATTCTGGTGCTGAGCGGCCATTTGTTTGAGAGTTTCTGCACATGGACCTGTAGGTTCGGGTATGGCTGTTGGAAGTGGAATGGTGTGGTTTGTCATAACAGTGGCATTCATGTTCTGATTACTGTCAAAGAGGCTGTCCATGTGACCACTAGAGCCGATATTTGGGTAAATCCCTTTCAAAAGTTCTGGAGAACTTCTAGTTAAAGTTCCATACATGTTCCCAGAATCACTGCCCTCGGAATCACGCTGCAGTATCTTCTGCAGTATTTCATCAAATTCTTTTTTGGCACCTTCTAAATTATGCTTTTCAATGCTCTCAAAAAATTCAGCTAATGCATCAACGCCAATGTCTCGAACAGATGCTGAATCAATATTGGTGTTGAGTGTGCTTGATGATGATGTGGGATTTGCAGCTGATGACCGAGCACTGTCTTCTGATGGTTCTTGTTTGCACTGGACACTGGTGTGAACACTGTGGCTGGTGCTTCCTGCATTCGGAGAGTCTGTGTCATAACAGGAGCTGACGGTGACATTGGTATGTATTGTCTGCGGGGTATCTTGCTGGCAATGAGCACTAATCTGTTGAACTATCTGTACAGATAGACTCGGCAATCCCGTACTGTGTTTGTTTCCTCCGCTGCTGCCGATGCTGTTGTTGGCACTCGTTTTACTTTTCTTCACATTTGAAGACTGAAGGTCGCTGTCATCGAAGTTGAAAATGGTTTCAGAAGTAGTGGTAGTTGTCGTGGTGGTGGTGGTTGTAGAGGAATTATTCGCATCAGCATTAACGCTATCAATTTTTCGCTTCAGTTTCTGAAAAAAAATTGTACAAACAATTTTTTTTTAAATTGGACAAATATAAATGAAGTGCTGAGATACATACACATATTCACATACATGATACAAATGGCTACTTAGGTCCACCTGCTTCAGAGGTTCTTAAAACATTATCAAATATTGCCAGCTGGGTGTTTCAATGTTTCTCAAGATTTTCAACAGCTTATGGGACAGACATCTCTCCTGCTTCCTTTCTAGTCCTGATCCGCCTTTCAGTATCAGGTTTAGAAGAGGCATCAGGTGCAAGCCTTGGCATGTGCTACGCGTAGATCTGGTATTTATGGCCTCAGATATTACATCTATCCATTATTTGCATGGTCGACCATTAGCACTGCTTCCATTATGTCTAAGTGACAGGACTCTCTGTGGTGCACTATGTCGTGGTAGTCTTGATGCACATCCAAACCATTTGATCTATTGTCGCTTGATGTAGCTTAGTACTAGATTCGTCACAACTTCTTTCCTGATATCCTCATTTTTGTATCCTGTTTCTTCTATATACATTTATAATTTATCATTGACATTTTATTTCTGTTGTTTAGATTTTTCTTTTCCTTCACCAGTAATTTCTATGCTTAGTACTGGTAACACAAGTTGGTAAAGACACTGTATTGAATACTGCTCTCAGTGCATGACAAATAACTGTCAACGTCTTCTCATTCCCTTCTTCATCTATCTCTTGAGAATTCTTTCCAGTTGTCACACCACGTTCCAGTTTGTCATTATGTGGTCACAAAATAACAACTTCCTCTCACAGAAGTTTTGTATTAAAATGTCACAAAATAACAACTTCCTCTCACAAAGGTTTTGTATTAATTTATATTTGTTAGCCTCTTTTCAGAATTTACTCATTTTAATTAACAAAGGGGTCTTGTATAAAACCCCATCTTCGTGGCCTCAATAATTATTTTTTTTTTTTTTTGCTTATATATCTACTAATTGTCAAGACAAGAATTGTCACCTTAAGTTAAAAGTTAAGGTTAAAAGCATCGACTTTATTGCACCAGGATTTATCTCTCATTTGGCTTGGTCTCTCTCTGTAAAGAACGGCTTGCCATATGCCAAAAACGCCACATAGCACAAACACCGTAACTCCAGGGATAGTAAAAACTACACTAGTGAAATTGATGGCACAGCTGTGAACTGAACTGCACAGCCGTGAAATGAACCCACAACTTTCCGAGCTTGAGGCAAATGTCTTGACCACACTACCTGAAACATATCAAGATTCAATAATACAAATGCACTTCCTTATATAATCACTAGCTGTACCCGGCCACGCGTTGCTGTGGCCCAGAGTGGTGAAATGGAGAGGAAAGAAAATAGCTCTCAGCTAACAGTGTCTGCCATACTCTCCCCTCGACGCAGTCATATTTCCCTCTCCGAAGGATTGAAAAATAATCCATGGTGCAATTATTAAAATAGAAATAGTTGAGAAATAATAACTTTAAAATAATATTTTAGGCTCTCTCAGCTAACTGTGTTTGGCATAACCCCCCCCCCCCCCCCCCACTCCCAATCATATTTCCCTCTCCGTAGGATTGGAAAATCATCACCTGGCGAAATTATTTAAATAGAAATAGTTAAGAAATGAGAACATTAAAATAATATTTTAAGCTCTCTCAGCTAACGGTGTCTGACATAACACCCCCCCCCCCCCCCCCCCCACTCACATCTCCCTCTCCCAAAGATTGAAAAATCACCTGGCGAAGCCATATCTCCCTCTCTGAAGGACTGAAAAATCGTCCATGGCGAAATTATTAAAATAGAAATAGTTAAGAAATGAGAACTTTAATGGCTTAGCAGTCAAATATGGCCGAACACATAAAAACAAATCCGGGCAGGCAACGAAACAAATAATGATTTGACCGTTGCTGGAGCTACGTCGTTCGTGGTTTGTGCGATTTTCTGACAAAAAAATCATGCTTGGAGTCAAAGGCAACGTTGTGTGCAAATTTGAAAGCAATCGGTTCAGTAGTTTCCGAGTTTTTAGCTTACATGATCGGAAAATTAACATTTTTATTAATATAGAAATATAGATTATGCACAATTTTAGCACCTCTTAAATTAAATATGTGGAAGAAGTTATGAAAACTGTCTAAATTGGGACATAAGAGGTCAGGATTAGACTATCTCTGATCTAAATAACAATAATCTTACACAGATCTTAGAACTGGACTCTCTCTCTGAGGAAATGGACAGGAAGATTCAGGTTTTCAAACATAACTGCTATCGACGAATCTTACAAATTAGCAATTTTGAACATTAACAGATATGTAACAGACTAAATAAACACATTTGCTGGACATTAGCAGCCTCTTCTGTCAGTGGTGCAACGTCTAGCTGGCCTATGTGAGACATGATTCGGCTGCAAAGACTGCACTTCAAGGAACATTGTTGTGAAGAATTGTGGGGGATAAAAACCTAATATGACAAAATTGACCAATGCATAGGATTAAATTACTATACACTTGTTTACGAAGCGGAACACAAGAAAGATGGCGGGTTTTGTGTACTAGTGCTTCAGACCATATACTTTCACGACCCTAAAGGATCAAGGATTATGTACGTACACATAACAATCAAGATAATCATATGGCGCAGTGCCACTAAAGTGTGATGTTAAGCCAAAGTGTTTACTAGATCATGGCACTGGAAGAGGTGGCTAGCTATCTCTCTCTCTCTCCCTCCCCTCTCTCTCTCTCTCTCTCTCTCTCTCTCTCTCTATCTCTCTCTTACTCTCTCTCTCTCTCTCTCTCTCCCTACTATAACCCACACGTGTTGAAAAGAGTAAAAGGATA